GCTGGAAAAAGGTAAGTTTTACCACTTTTCCCCTTTCCAGAGCTGGGTGGGAGGGGGCCCCTGAGGGTGGGGGCACCCTCAGGGCACTATAGTGCCAGGAAAACGAGTATGTTTTCCTGGCACTATAGTGGTCCTTTAAAGGACCACTACAGACACCCAGATCACATCAGCTCAATGAAGTTGTCTGGGTGTCACGTCCCTCTAGTTTTAACCCTGCAGCTGAAAACATAGCAGTTTCAGATTAACTGCTATGTTTCACTGAGGGTTAATCCAGCCTCTAGTGGCTGTCGCACTGACAGCCGCTAGAGGAGCACACTGAACGTTCATAGGAAAGCATTGAGTAATGCTTTCCTATGGGCGGTTTGAATGCGTGCGCGGTCGCATTCGGAGCTGAGAGGCTGAGGGATCCTCAGCGCCAAGGGAGTCCGGCGCTGGAGAAAGGTAAGTGCTGAAGACACACACACACACTTACAGATGCATACACACTAGCTATCAGACACACACATTTACTGACAGAGACACAGTCAGCGACAGACATACATACACACTCACTTACAAAACATACACTCACTAACAGACATCAAACAGACTCACTAACACACACACACTCTCAGTAAGACACACACAGTAACACACTCACTAACACACACACACTCACACTCACACTCACTCTAACTAGCAGACACACACACTTACTCTAACACTCACACTCACACTAACTAGCAGACACACACACACACACTAACACTCACTCTAACACTCACACTCACTAGCAGACACACACACTAACACTCACACTAACACTCACTAGCAGACACACACACACTAACACTCACTCTAACACTCACACTAACACTCACTAGCAGACACACACACACACACACTAACACTCACTCACTAGCAGATACACACACACTAACACTCACTAGCAGACACACACACACACTAACACTCACTCACTAGCAGACACACACACACTAACACTCACTAGCAGACACACTCACACTAACACTCACACACACTCTAACCCTCACTCTAACACTCACACTAACACATGTTTGTTTTTTTAAATGTAGTCCCCCCAGCCTCCTTACCTTTTGGAGTGCTGGGGGGATTCCCTGGGGTCCAGTGGTGCTGCTGGGCTCCTGGGTGGGCTGTCTGGGTGGCCGGCACGCGAGGGAGCACTTTCCCCTCAGTGCTTCCTCTTCAGCTCCCTCGCGCGCCTCGTAGGGATGCCGGCGCCGGAAGATGACGTCATCTTCCGGCTCCGGCATCAGTGCGGTGCGCGAGGGAGCTGAAGAGGAAGCACTGAGTGCTCCCTCGCGCGCCCGCCTGCCCAACCGGCCACCCGCCCACCGGGGTCAGCAGGGCCAGCCTCGGGGGGCCCTGGGGTGGTCGGCTCCTGGGCCCCCCAGGGGAAGAGGCTGGCCCTGTGGCTACATACCGGGTCGCAGGGGCGGCCGGGCCCCCTGGTGGGCCGGGCCCGGTTGCAACCGCGACCCCTGCGACCCTGGTATGTACGCCACTGGTCCGACACTCCCACATACAGCACACAATCCCTCCCCTCTGCCTGTGATATAAATAAGTGCTATAAAGATAATGTACTAACCTAATTATCCCCAGGCAGAAAAAAAAACACATTTTTACACACAGTATAGAAAACACCCCAAAACATAACATATCCCCATAAAGGTCCCCTGATAGGTCCCACATCCCCTGATGGCCCTGATCTGGGTGAACAACATATCCAAAAATTACCCAGATCAGAGCAGGGGTTCAGGAAATTCCTGGAAGTCTCTTTTGACCGACCGCACGCATAGTTTCATTCCCAAAACAGTTCCAGATAATTAGGCTGTACGGCCGGTCTATTTAAAACAGTTGAAGTACCGTTCGAATTACCGAACGGAATGGTGAATGGCCATAGCTAATGTGTGTCCCTTGTTGGTGGGCTTCGATTCACCGAACACCGTTCGACTCCCATTTGAATAGTCTATGTTACCTTTGGAAGGTAACTGTTCAGCGGTGTTCGTGCCATCGTGTGTCCGATTTGAATTCCATGAACTCGACAACAAAACACAGCTGAACACGTTCGACTAAATAAGATGGCTGCCGCCACGTGTTCGACTAAACGAATGGCGGCCATTTCGACTACTTTGACTGTATCCGAAGTGCCAATTTGCAGAAGGGGAATGGAAGGAGTTTTAGGTGAACAAACAGATGAACCAGAGGATAGATTTATAACCCATGGACAGAGAACCGGATTAACCCTTTTCGAGTTAACTTGGGGATGTCCGGACTCTGCTTAGGGCAGGGGTTCTCAACGTTAGTCCTCAGGACCCCCTACCAGTCCAGGATTTGGGGATAACCTGGGTGTGTCTCAGGTGTTTAGAAAAAGGGAAAAAAACACCTTAAACTCTAAGGTGTTTTTTTTTTCTTTTTCTAAACACCTTAGACACACCCAGGTAATCCCTAAACCCTGGACTGGTAGGGGGTCCTGAGGACTAACGTTGAGAACCCCTGGTTTAGGGGCTAAGTTCTGTTTGTCTGGATCGACTGTATCCGAAGTGCCACTTTGACCACTTCGAAAGTTTGAAGAACCATTGTGCCAAGTCCCAATAGGCACAATAGTGTCTCTCAGCCAGTATGAATTAAAGGGGCCATAATCACAGGGTAGGAGGCTGGCAACCAGGCCTCACTGTGTACAGACAATGTAGACCTTATGCTGGGGTCTGTGTATAAAAGAATATGTTTGGCTCAATAAAAATAGTTGTACTCCTTAGAACGGTGTGTTGTCCAGTTACTGGGGGAATGGGCTATATTCACTAAGCAGCGCTTTGTTCCAGCTCGAGAGGATTTTGGCGGAGATCTTCGGTCTCAGACTTGCAGTTCCGCTACAGTTGATTTTCATTATTATTGCCTATTAATTGTCTATTAACTGTGATTTATCTGATTAATATGATTCAGCTACCTAAACACATGCAGAGGTGACAGTTTACACTGTTCTATAATCACCTGCTCTGAGCAACAGCTCGAGTATCATGCTCCCTTAGTGAATGTGTGGGGGTCACCACAGATGATCCTATATTAATTTACCATTTCATCTATGTAAAGCTTAGCTCGAAACGCCATTCCTTACTCCAATTTCCCTTTTCTGGGAGAGCAGCCCCTGGGGGAATGTGTAATTGAACTGGAGAGACTGGTCTGGAGAAAACTATGGCTACACAATGGTTACCGGGCCTTAAGGTGGTATGCAATCCAGCAGAACCCGTGGCTTGCAGACGACCCTTTGGAGGGTGAGGACTATGTTGGCCCTGGCCTATTGTGGGAGTCCTTTGAGGAGTGGATGTTGGGAGCTCAGTGGTGCTCCAATTCTGGAACATCTGTGAACTTAAAGGGACACTATAAGACCAGGAAAAATCAGAAATCTTAACTATTTTTCTTCAGTATATATTAATGAGGATCCTATGGCAAGATATATGCAAATGATTGCTGCAAGAAACTTGCAGATAACTTGTGATTAGATAACTTGAGACAAGGTGCTACAGCTTTTAAAGAAAATTAATGTAAATAAAGCTCCGGGGCCTGACGGTATTAACCCACGAGTACTTAAGGAGCTAAGTGGGGAAATAAGTGAACCTCTGTATTTAATTTTTCAAGATTCTTTTGTTTCAGGTATTGTACCAGAGGATTAGAGGAAGGCAGATGTTGTTCCAATATTTAAAAAGGGTTCAAAATCCTTGCCTGGAAATTATAGACCTGTGAGCTTAAAGGGACACTGTAGTCACTATAAGCATTTCATCTCTTTGAATTAGTTATAGTGCCTGGAGTGCCCTGGCACTGTCCCTCCATTCAGTGTTGCACCATGTTCGTGCAGTATGCCACAAAATAAGAGTCCCTGGCCACCCACAGTTCGGCCCCTTCAGTATGTGTAGCTAAGGCAGAGATTACACACTTCCTTGTTGTCATACCCATTCATACCGTCAGTTGGAACTCTGACAGGCTAAAATCAGTCAGCTGACACTCTCAGCCAATCACAGCTGCCTATTGCTGCTCAGGCTAATACTTCCATATTAGCCAAAGCAGCACAGAGGGGATGGATTGCCAGGGACTCTTGTTTAGCATTAAAACATTAAAAGTTTAAAAACTGTTTAATGCTGAAAGAAATTATAGTACCAGAGGACTCCAGACACTATAACCAGTTTAATGAGATGAAGCAGATACAGTGCCTACGGTGTCCCTTTAACTTCTGTAACTTCTGTAAATATTTGTAGGCTATTAAGGGATTATATTCAGGAATTCATTGGGAAGAACTTTGTTATTAGCAATAATCAGCATGGTTTTATGAAACAAAGGTCATGTCAAACTAACCTAAAACTAACCTATTGCATTCTACGATATGGTTGATACGGTTCCTCACAATAGGTTAGTCTTCAAACTAAAAGAAATTGGTCTAGATGAATATTCTTGTTCTTGGGTAGAACATTGGCTTAAGGATAGAGTACAACGAGTTGTCATTAATGGTAAATTTTCAGGCTGGACAAAAGTGGTGTCCCTCAGGGTTCTGTTTTGGGACCGCTTCTATTTAACATATTTATAATTGATCTTGAAATAGGCATTGAAAGTCATTTATCAGGGTTTGCAGATGACACAAAACTTTGTAAAGTAATAAAATGTGAGCAGGATATTGCTTTGCTGCAGAGGGATTTGGATAGATTGGGGGACTGGGCACTAAAATGGCAGATGAAATTTAATGTAGAGAAATGCAAAGTTATGCACTTTGGGGTTAAGAATGCACAACCAATTTAAAATGGTAGTGAACTAGGGATTACCAGACATGAGAAGGATTTGGGAATTATTATAGACAACAAATTAGGCAGCAATATGCAATGTCAATCTGCATTTGCTAAGGCCAGTAACATTTTGTCATGTATAAACAGGGGCATAAATTCTCGGGGTGAAAATATAATTTTGACTCTTTATAAATCGCTAGTAAGACCACACCTTGAATATGCTGTGCAATTTTGGGCACATGTTCTAAAGAAAGATATCATGGCACTAGAAAAAGTGCAGAGACGAGCTACAAAATTGATAAAAGGAATGGAGCATTTTAGTTACGAAGAAAGGTTAAAAAAATTAAATCTGTTTAGTTTGATAAAAAGGCACCTGAGAGGGGATATGATAACATTATACAAATATATTCGGGGCCAGTACAAACCTTTATCTGAAAATCTATTGATAAACAGGGCTATACAAAGGACACGAGGTCACCTTTAGCCTGGGAGAAAGGAGATTTCATCTAAGGCAAAGAAAAAGTTTTTTTACAGTAAGAGAAATAGGGATATGGAATTGTCTGCCTGAAGAGGTGGTTTTGTCAGAGTATATACAGATGTTTAAACTGCAATTGGATATACTTGCAAAAACATAAAATACAGGGATATAATTTCTAATTAGTGGGGTAATAGCTGCTTGATCCAAGGAGACATCTGACTGCTATTATGGGGTCAAGAAGGAATTTTTTCCTAGTTTGTTGCAAAATTGGAAGCGCTTCAGACTAGGTTTTTTGCCTTCTTTTGGATCAACAGCAAAAACATTTGTGAGGAAGGCTGAACTTGATGGACGCAAGTCTCTTTTCAGCTATGTAACTATATAACTATATAGTCACCAGAGCAACTACAGCTTATTGCATCTGTTCTGGTGAGTAGAATCATTCCCTCCTGACTTTTTGCTGTAAACACTTTATTTTCAGAGAAAAGACAGTGTTTACATTACAGCTTGGTGATAACTCCACTGGCAACTCCTCAAATGGCTGCTAGATGTGCTTACTTGCCTAATGTGCAGCAATGCCATTTAGTGTCTCCACCCTCTGCATGCAGACACTGAACTTTCCTCATAGAGATGCATTAATTCATCTCTATAAGGAGATGATGATTGGCCAGGGCTGTTTTTGACTTGTGTTGGCTCTCTCCCTGATCTGCCTCCTTCTCAGTCTTAGCAAATCCTATGGGGAAGCACTGTGATTGGCTCAGACCACCACTTCTAATTATGTCAACAGACAGGGGCAGAGGTAGCAGGTGCAGACTTAAATACAAGTAAGATTTTATAAATATTTAGAGTGGCAAGATTTTACTATATTTAGAGTGGTAGATGGTGTTTTTTTTTAACTCTATAGGGTTAGAAATATATATTTGTGTTCCTGACCCTATAGTGCTTCTTTAAGGGAGACCTGCTGAATCTCACGGTAGCAACAAATCTGGAACGTGATCTGGCCTACTTAGACAACTGGGAGTGGGAGCTGGAGCACAACTACAGGCGACTGATCGACTCTGTACAGCAGCAAAGTGTATTCTTAGGTAGGGAAAGGGAGGTCAGTCTCCTCACTCCCCAGTGGCCGCATGTGTTTATGGTAGGGGAGGACAGTAGCCTCACTCCCCAAGAGCAGGATGTGTTTTCGGTAGGGGAGGACAGCAGCCTCATTCTCCAACAGCTCAATGTGCTTATGGGAGGGAAGTACAGTATCCTTACTCCCCAGCTTCCAAATAGCTTCCCTGTGATATATTGACAGATTTTAAGCTTAGATTAGCCAAGTTTCCGATAGAATGTCAGAAATTCAGGTTTTCCTCAAGCAACACACGTCTGCCTCGGGCAGTAGTTAAACCCTGCGTTTTGTTTGTTTTTTGTTTTTTAAAGGTATGGTCATGTATAGTGTATTGTTAATAAGAAAGTTAATTTCTTTTAAACATTGAGATAACTTACTATTGGAAAACTTAAGCTCTAAGTTAAGCTTTGAAACTTAGTTAGACTTAGGTTTCTGAATAATAATTTCAAAGTGGACTGAAATTTAGGTTCTCTATTTAAATACAGGATTTAATGATATGATCTTCAATATTAGAGAGGACCTCGCTTAAATCCAGGGAGGAATAGAGGAAAGGAAACAAATGGAAATACATTTTTATTTATTTTCTTTTTGAAAATATTTATTAAAACATTATTAATTAAAATAATTAAAACTCCAGGGTAAAACCTCTGATAATTATCTGGATTTGTAACTGCAAAAATGATTATGAATGATATGACATCGGACTTACTTATATATTATTAGATAACATGCCTAAGATCTTATTACTTTTAGAAAGGAAAGGGAAAAGGAAAAATGACAGGATTTTGTCCCCTGTTGTATAATATAATTAGAGATGAATAAGGGTGATAGAAATTAATCCTTTATAACCAAGAATATTGCTAAGAGACAATCAGGGTAAAAAGGACATGGACAAAGTGAAAGATTTAATAGCAGATTACAAAAGTAACATTGGCAGGTCAGTAAACACTCTGTGACCTGGGATGGCACTAGGTCAAATCAGAAATTAAATTTCTGTTTCCACAAGAGTTTATCTTGTGGTTTATATGTGGTATGTTTGTAGTATATGTTACGTATAATTTATGTATAAGGATGGCTACGCGGGGATGGGGATATTTGAGATGTCTGATTGAAACACAAAGAATCTGGAGTGGAGAGAGTGTCAGGTAATTTTTTATCTATTAATGCCCCATATAAAAGAGGATACTTATGCCAACAAAGTTGACAGTATTTCAAGTGAAAATTAATAACAAAACTAAGAAAAAAGAGAAGTGGCCATTTTAATATCTAACAAAAATAATTTTATCCAATTTTCGAGGAAATGGAATAAAACGGGAAGATACGTTTGTGATTCAGAACACAACAGGTTGGTTGAAAAAAGGGAAAGCTCCTTGCCCTGTTGGATTTTCCGTGACTTTTAATGAAACATTTGAAAGCATAATTTCCCCGTTGTTATTTTCGACGTATAACGAGTTTACTGTGACTAGAAGTATTCCACAAGAATTACTGCAGGCTAATATTCTCCCTATTCCAAAGCCTGTGAAGGACCACGATATCCTGTCAAATTATTGCCCAATCTCGCTAATTAATTTAGACATTATGATTTTCTCTAAAATACTATCCAATAGCTTAAAAATCCAGATCTTATACATAAAAGTCAAACAGGATTTATCTCTGGTAGAGATATGGCAGACAATTTACATAAAATATTAAATATAATTGATCATTTAAATACACATAAAACTCAAGTAACTTTATTAGCACTTGATGCAGAAAAAGCATTTGACAGGGTAGACTGGAGAATTTTGGCCTGCATGGTCCCTTTGAATAGAACATCATGGCACTTTATACGCTTCCTCAAGCTAGAGTTGTTGGCCCAGGGATGCTCTCCAATTGGTTCAATAACAGAAATGGAAGTAGACAAGTGTGTCCTTGGGCACCTCTCATATATTTTAACAATAGAACCTACAGCTGCAATTAGACTGAAAGAAGGAATTACAGGTCTTAATATATGTTTGGAACAACACAAAATTATATTGTATGCAGATGACATCCTTTTACCCCTATCCGATCCTTTGAAGTCCATCCCTGCTCTACTAAAATTGGTACAGGAGTATGGAGGGTATTCTGGTCATAAGACAATTGAATATCTCTGCATCAAACTATTATACAACTTGCAAAATCTAATTAAAATCAACTCTAATAATTTACTTGCATCCACTAAAATCAACCTTCTGAAATGGAAGGGATTGAAAATATCATGGATGGGACACATTAATACAATTTCTGCGTATGTAATGATGAATCTAGTTTAACTTTTCCGGTCAGTCCCTCTAAGAGTTCCCTCTAATATTCTTTCTCAGTTTAAGATTCTGTTTATGAATTTCATATGGGGCTATAAGAAACCACAAATTGTATACCAAATTCTTACCAGAAAAACTAAATACAGTTGCCTGAATATTCCTAATTTTGAGGAGATTCACAATAACGTCATGTTCACCCACTATCTAAAATGGTATAACCTTACAGCTAATGACCTAAGTTGGAAACAAATGGAGGATGTAATAAATTTTGATATATCTCTTTCTAATTTAATACGGATAAACTCGGAACAATATAAAACTATCTAAACCCTCAAATAGGATAGTTAATAATGTAATTTCAAATCTAAAAATATTTTAAAAGAATATTGGGATTTCAAATAAATTATTACTAACAATCCCTATTAAAATTCTTCAATTTTATATTCATGATCTTACTATAAACAGATGAATAGAATGTCGTATTTTGAAATGAAGTCATGTTGCTCCATTGGACATAATTATAACATTTTAAAATTTAAAATCTATATTTGGAATCCCTGATACTGAAACATAACTATATAAAGATTAAACATTTTATTATACAGTATAGGGATAGAAGAAAATCATATTCTTGAAAACTTTATAAATAAATGTTGTAAAAGTAAACTGATCTCCAAAACTATGCAATTAAGACTGAATCTTATGAATATAAAAAAAAAAAATCTTCCATTTAAAAATGGGAAAGAGGTATAGGTAAAACATTTCTATTAATTAACTGGGAAGAAGCAAACTTAATGATGAAAAAAATCTATACATAACTTAAGTCTTCAAGAAAACTACTTCAAAATCACACATATATTGTATCTCACGCCAAACAGGATTTATAAATTTGATAAAAAATCCTCAAATTTATGTTGGAGATGTACACACGATATCTGTACAATATATTGGGATTGGGTATATACCATACGTGGTGGCAGTGTGCAGTATTAGAAATTAAAACTATGATTTAAGATACTGTTTCAATTATTTGCAATCAAAAAGTAATTCTATCCCCTCAATTATTCCTATTCCATTTGGATTTTCCAATATGTAATTTCTAACAAAAAATTCTACTAATACACATTTTTATGGCTACAAAATTAATAATGGCTAGAAATTGACAACCACAAAACTATGGTTGGATATAATAAAACAAATCAATTGTCAAAGTCGAATGGAAAAGGATTTCTATAGAAAGGCTGGTAATATAGCTCTATATAATTCAATTTGGTCTAAATAGGCTAAGGTAACTAATAACAGTAGCTAATTTGGGCATTAACTAACATCTAACAAATCTATTATCTTCAACAATAATAATTTAGAATCTCAGTCACCCAGCTCTTTATTATCTCAGACCCCAAGTGGCTTTCCTTTGTCTTACTCGAAAATATGATTGTAACTTTCATTAAGCAGTATGTTTGAAATTGTACTGTACGTATTTCACACTATTTCTGTTTGTATGCTAATATACATGTACATCACTTAATGTCCATTTAATAATCTTAATTTCAATAAGGGAAATAAATTCTAAATACCAATGCCCATAGCATTGCCAAATACCTTATTTAAAAAATTCCAATCCCTTCTAAACACTCATATCTGGAAGAGGATGCTCTCTTCTTGTGGTTACACCATCATAAAAGAGGATTGGGTATTCCTGACATTCGAACATACTATAGGGCTTTGAGTCTGTCTCATGTCTAAGCTCATATAACCTAGAGCACTTACTCTGGTCCTCCTAGTCCTCTGGCTTTAAATCAAGGTTGCAAATTATCTTCCTCAAAATTAATGCTGAAAAGTTGGGATCTATGGATTTACAATTTAATTGACCCCAAGATGCTCCAAGCTATAGCTTCACTCCAGTCACTATCAATATTGTTTTACAATCTTCAATTGGAAACATGGACTCAATAGGATATTAGAATAGTCAATAACCTCTGTAATAACATTGGTGTTAAACAATTCCCACAACTGAAGGATGAGTTCCATCACCCATATCCAAGTGCCCAGGACAAATTGCCTTAAATGATAGCTTAGGAGAAGGATATAGGGAATGATTTTCCTCTTAAGCAATGGAAAATCCTCTAAAAGCGTATCCTCATGGGAAGCTTATTGTAAAATAAGACTAAGATGGTATCTAGTTCCATTCAAACTTCCCAGTATTTATGCAAATGTGACCTGGTTTGTTGCAGATGTGAACAGGCAGTAAGAGACATAAAACACATTTTGGGACTGCACAGCCTTACAACCACTTTGGCAACGCATTGCTGATATATTGAGAGATGTGGTTAAAATAACTCGAGAATATTATTTACTGTATTTGATAACAAAAGAAGAAAAAATGAGAAATAAGGGCTGCGCCAGAGAGACTTAATGTGAAAAAATAATAACAAATAGTCCAAATAAAAAGAGTCTTATCTAAAATGCTCTTATTGGAGTCACAGTAGTGCTTGGTCAGGAACAAATGTCCTCGCTGTTCTCCTCCGTATAGATCCACTTATATGCAAGAGATAAGAACAAATAGAGAACCAAATAGTGCAATAAGTCTAATAATAAAATGAATAAAATATAAAAGGCTGGTATAAAACTCACATTTGCAAGAGCTATAACTCGCTCTAGTGTGAAAGGCGTACAGCGGTACAAACCCCGCTTATGGGATATGGGGTAAACTTCCTCTGTCAGTGGTATGTTCAACATTCAAATAAAAAGAGACAACCAATAGTGCTCACTGGATAAAATACTGGAAATAAAATATATAAAATGGTACTCACAAGGAAGGAGCAGACCAACTGCTCCTTGAAGATCGCACTGGTGGTATGATCCCCACCTAGGATTACTTGGAGTCCAGGGTGATAAAAATGACAGGTAAAAAACAATCTTTAGCACTTTTTCTGGTGCTGCTCTGCACAGACCTGCTCTCTCTGCAGGTCAGATTGTATCTCTCAGGTCAGATTGTATCTTTTCCTGTTTTACTCTGTGTAACGGACCGTTTCAGCACACAAGGGGTTAAAACCGTTTAGGCGATCGTC